ARRAARRAARRAARRAARRAATGTTCTTGCATARARTARAAAYTGGATTCAGCAGTCAGATGAAAATYGACTTTCCTGATGTGCTGGTAATCCACTTTTGTATCCTATTTTTTTGATACTTTTGTGACAAAATTAAGAGAATGCTTCCTCTAAGAGGGGGTAGAAACCTTTAAATGGATGTTGGTMATGTATACCATGTAAAAAATGTTTTGATTTATTAGTTAAGTAGCATTTAAACAYTATACTCCAGTCAGCTGCACCATTTCCAGTCCTGTGCAGAATGCTCATCAGCCGAATCACAAGTTTTCAATAGCATWCGATGGCTGACAGCACATGTTGGTCAGTGCTTGACCACCATTTGGAGCAGACAATAAATTCAGGATACTTATCAGCTGATTGAAACCCAGAAATTATGTTATGTACATGTTTTGTAGAAATTAAAGAAATTTATTGTGAAAAGCAAAGAAACTTAACAAAAAACTATCTTTTCAAATCTCATCATTGATTTATTTTGTTAGTAATAATATTTTGTACTTTGATTTCACAATYCAATAAAGATTTTGAATTTATTTTCTCTATGATTTTTCATACATAAATATGTTAAAATTTATGACTAAATTGAAAAACGGTGGTTTTACCTAATACATGGCATTATATAAAGATCATTCATTGATTGAGTTTTAATTCTGAATTCTAAAATACTGTAAATGTATTTAATATGATTTAAATTTTTTTGGCTATCATAAAGCATCAATTAATCTCATAAAATTTAAAACTTTTTTATAAAGTTTTTTTAAGGTCGCCTGCCTGCRTGTTTTAAAAACTTCTTAATATATTACAGTGCTGAAACTCGAACACACAAGATTTTTTGGACATTTTTTCATAACTATCCAATCACAGCTCTCTGTAGAAAGGGGATCAAACTTTTTTTAGGCACCATCCAATCGCAACGAATGGCGGAAAATGTGGTAGTATGCAAAACTGTGGCACAAAATGCAAATTTTCAATAATTAATCTGGCTTCTGATTGGATGATTTAAAAAATGTTTAAAAAACCTTGAAGTGTTCATGGTTCGAGTGTCTCACAGTAAAATCCTTCTTGTGAGAATAGCTTTAAAATTTATATAATATTAATATACTCTAATAATAATTATTATTACCTGCACAACTGATTGGTCTAGACTGTTATATCCATTTTTGAACTGTCTTTAAACAGAGTCACTTGGAGATGATGGTAGTGTCCTGATACCAGTAGCTGCATCATCTGGTAGGAATATTTGTTCCCGTTCTGCTATTAACCTGTGGTAGCGTGGCTTRAACAGGATGATAAATATGATGGCAACGAACACTGCTACTATTGTAAGAAAATACATCGCCCATGTTAAGTCTTGTATGTGACCACCTTGTTTATCACTTTTTCGGCATTTGGCATCAGGAAGTTCTTGATCAGTCTTAGATTGAGCTAGTACTTGACAAATAATGATTAGGATGATACCAGAAGCTTGTCTGTTGAAGAAAGATGAAGATTATTGCCTTTTCTTCTTCTCTTAAGAAGAATATTCCATCTCTAGCTTTTAGGTGATTTTTAGCGTATTACTCTGATGTTAGAGGTCCCCTTGCTTTTGTGACAAAAGAGCATGAGGTCATGAAGCTTACCACAAGATAATAGAATGCTTACTATGTTCTAGAAGTGATGGAGTAATATTATAGCCTGTGGAAATAGGGGATTAGTTGCTTATAGATGTCTCTCGTGCCTGCTCTTTCATTCGCTGTTAAAACTGTTTTCATTGCTACACACTCATCCAAACAAAAGTTGAGACAGGTAAATGGGCAGTTGAATTTTGTCAATCAAAGAATTCATGAGGGTATGAATTAAGTACATGGGAATAATTTATTTGACTTACAATAGTCTGTTAATCGAAGTATATGATCAATGACATCCGGGTGGATGTAGTCCTGAGAAGGACTGTTTGATGTGACTGACGTTTCGACAACCTGAGCGGAAGTCATCTTCAGAGTCAAGTGAAGAATAAAGTACAATACAATAGTCTATTGTCCATTATCTCATAGCAACTGCCTTGATCAAAGTGTAGCCACCAAAACTAGTTTCTATGGTATTGATTGGTTTATCGATTTTCTATTAAATATATTATGATATTACTAGTGTTTGAACCTCACCCCATTATCCACTGCAGTCCTGCACTGGTTGCCTCAGCAACAGGGTATGTACATTCCACCCCAAGCTCCAAACAAACTGGCATTAATGCAAAGGCAAAGAAACCAAAAAGACCTGATGCTACCAGAACTAGTGATGCCTGGTCTGGCAGTTTAAAAATCTGGAATGGGAACCAGGTAATTGAAACGTTAAGTTCTAAGCAGGGCCGTAACCAGAACTTTTACAGGGAGGGTGCACATCGAATAAAATCGAACCATTGATCGGTTTTTATTACCAACACAGTGGCGTAACTAGGGATTTGCAGGGAGGTGCTCAGGCAATGATTTGCAGGACCAAAAATAATAATAAAAATAAAAATAATAAGAATAAAAAAGGTAACCAAAAAAAAGCAGAACCCCAAAAAAGAAAAAAGGAGATGAATGAGCTGACCTTAAGCTTTTATGGGGGGGTGCACGTGCACCCTGTACTCCCCCCCCTGGTTACAGCCCTGCTAAGGATGATAGGGGTGGAGTAGTAGCTCCTGCAAATTACGCATGAATACAGTTTTCTGATGTGTTGTTCTCTTCCTTGCTRTGAGGGTTTTATCCAGGGATATGGTTTTCCTCTCTCTGCAAAAACCAACCTGTGAGATCATGAGAGTTGTGTGCTTTGAATATTGATATGTAGTGAGTGTGGAGCGTATTGTATACTTAACCTCTGGCAAAGGGGARTCAGCAATCCCTTATCATGCATAATAGATAAATATAACAGATTTTATTATTATCTATTAGATGTCACAGAATGAAAACACTTTGCTTATAACTTGAGTAAGAAACAAGACAGTTTAGAAATGTAAGTTTTGCCATCAAAAGCACAATGTTTTTGGGGCAACAGCAATAGTCTATGGTTAGCTGTTTGTAACTGAGAATACTGTAGAAGTTACTCACCATGGCAAAGAAACAGCAAGTAATGGCTGACATCCCATAAGATACTTTTGCTGTTAACTCAAATTCTTTAGACTTATCGACATACCAGCCAGAGAGWGCCCCACCCAGCAGGCCACACCCTATCAGAACTGCTCCTGCATTACCTGCCATTTTCTGTCAGATTCATCGAAAATAATAAAAAAATAAAGGACAATTGAATATAATTCAATATTATACCCCACTTCTTTTGCAGTGGCTAGCACTGACAATGGACCTTTTGTGTAACTACCAAAAGGTCATAAAGTATATATCATAATAATAACTATTGTAGAGTGACCACAGTGAATCCGTGAAACACTAATTACTAAATAGTACAAAATAGTGCTAGTTAAACAATAGAAAACARTGGAATTTGCATGAAATTGTGCTATTAAGTATTACTAAAGTTTCATGGATTTACTGTGGCCACTATTATTTTGAAAATTATATCTTTGTTTCTAACCTACATTTATCACCTCCAAACATGATGCATCCTGGTCTAGTTTGGGTACAACAAACGTTTTTTGCATCTTGCCATATATGGTGTTGTTTGTACCCAAGCTGGACCAGAATGCATTGGGAGAAAAAAATTATCAGGAAGAGCATTTGTGAAATGCATACTTCATTGCTACAAACATTATTTTGTCTRTGGTAGTAGAGTCTTGTAACAACCACACTGGCCAAGGTGACTGGGTGCTACTGAATGTGTGATATACTGTACTTACATCACTGTAGCCAAATGGACAAATGATCTGCTCAAGAATGGTTGATAAACAAGAAAACAGWCCAATACCAACACCAAATGCCATCATCAGGACAAGATAGGATTTGTTTCGTAATACCTGCAATGTTTGGTAAAATAGATAACACTTTTATTAGTAACTGTGCTTATCCCTGTTTATATTGCTACACACTGATTGAGACAAAAACCAGGTCAGTCAGCAGAGGACTAATGTCAACCATATAAAATAATATGTAAAAATGAAACAATTTTGTTGAAGAAATTTAGAATGTAGCTAACAATGGTACATCATTATCAAAATGTGTAATTGGCATTTTTACAATCAATAAATCATCCATAATGTCAGAGTTCAGAGTATGATCTGAGCAAGAAAAGGAAGAAATATTCCTTCCCTTTCTTCCTTCCTTCCCTCCCTTTCTTCCTTCCTTCCCTCCCTTTCTTCCTTCCTTTCATCCCTTTCTTCCTTCCTTTCATCCCTTTCTACCATCAAACCACCTTTCCAAATAGAAAATGACTAACAAGCTTTGAAATTTAGTAAATATAAAATACTCACAGTTTTTAATCCAACAAAGAATGGCTCAGATTGAGAAGCAGCTGAATGTGAGGGAGGAGTGGGTGGAACACTACTGCAAAAACCTAATGTTGTCATGACAACTCCAAGGAAGGCTGGAGCAGCAAAGACCTCTAACTAAAAAGACAGGAATCAAGAGTGAGATTTGTAAGCTGGCCAAGCTATCTCCATAGACACCTCTCTTTTCGTCTTTCCTTCTCTGGGCTTCCTGTGGAAGGTTTCAAAAGAGGGAGACTGAGAAATTCAGTAAAATAACATATTTTAAAATGCATTCCATGATAGACTTATTTACTTTGAGCATAATGTTTTCACTTAAGACCATGTGTCATTCCCCAGAGTAGTATTTCTTACATTTTCACTTTCAGTCCCTCTCAGCCAAATTGCTATAGACACAGGTAGCCCACCAATGGAGAAAATTAAAGAAGACATTAAAGAAACAGGTGAAGAAGACCTTACATCAATCTTGACAATGAAAGATAGACTTTTTTACCCAAGTCTRTATGCTTACCATAAGTGGTATTTTGTCTTCACTTGATACAATGTTAGGTGCGACAACATTGGCTACTAGTACTCCTAATGGATTGGCTAAGAAAATATCATAGATCAGTGTAGGACATCTAAAAATTGCTTTGTGGACCATATAAAAAGGCAGTTCTGTCTCATTTAGGAAAATTAAACATAAAGGGCCACAACTTATTTTATCAGTGATTAGTTGAATCTATCATGTGATAAATACTTACAAAGAGAAGCCAACATATTGGCTGTTGCTCTCTCGTTTGCACCAAACCACAGCGCTGCTAGTTTGGTAGGAGAACTCAATACAAAAGGTTGTGCAAAAGATGAAATGCTCTGACCAATCATGACCACAGTAAACTTGTACGACAGAGGTATAAATGAAAAACCACTAATTATACGAAGACCTGCACCWATACCATTTAACCAAGCACCAACGAGAACCTGAATGACAAGAAAGAATATCTTGAGATCAAGAAAAGAATAGGGAATGGGAAGTGGGTTGGGAAATGTAAGCATCTCAAAATCTACTTTTTTTCCAAAGATGCTTTCAGACACATCAGTATAGAGACATCAGTACGTTTTTCTGAGACATCTCTTTGGCCATTTCAATTAGCCATTCCAAGGACGAAGAAAAAAATAGTTTGAGTTAGAGTGCATCGTAGGACTGTTTTACTGGACAAAATAGATGCCATCTTGGGACAATGCATTTCAATGCCAACTCAACCTAGCATTTTCCTCAGTCTTGGAATGGTTAATATTCTTATTCTKATACTTTTTAAGTCTTATAGTAACCAACCTACCCCAGTTCTAAGACCCAAGGTATCAAGAACCCACGAAGCACCAAGACCAAACAAGAAACACACAAGAAGAAACACTATAGACAACCAGTTAATATCACTCAGACTTCGATTGTAATAACTAGCAGAATAGTCTGCAACTGGAGCAAATGATATCCAAATCTAAAAGAAGAAAAATGCAAAAAGATTAAAAGGTTATACACAGGCGAGGATAATCTCCCAGAATATAAAGGATTAAYTTTGAAAATGATAAATATAAGAATTAATAGCTCTAGAAATATTTACCATWGCATTGGAGAAGTTTAATAAACACAGAACAAACAGCATGTACCATCGTCTGGTGTAGACTCTGTATTCTATACGAGAACCGATAGAGTTCACATCATATGATGTATTTTGATCCTTCTGAAGTAATGGATCCCTCTCTGAGGCATTTTCAGCCATATTATTCAATTAAACATTTGTTAAAGAAGATTTCAAAATCATGGAGTTTGTCTTGTTCTTGTTGTTGGTTCTCTCGTGACTCACGAATAATGACAGGCGTTCCTGACAAAGAGCACAGGAAACCCAGCTGATGTATTATTGMTGGGAAAATACAAACAACATYAAGCTATTYTAAAGATGCATATSAGTATTAATTCAGTAAATTCAGTRTTGATTCTAAATACCTGCTTTTTAACGTTACTTTTGTTTAAGATGAGTAGACACAGCGATGTTCAAGAGCAAAATGCATAACTGAGCGTGGGCTTCCTGTGTGTGTCCCATCAAAGAGAGTATAAAGCTAATTTTCATGCTTCATGTTGTGATCGCTGATAAAAAAATGTCACTTTACGAAGATTTATACAGCCCTGCTCTGACGTTGGGTACTTTGGTGAGTCTCAACGTGCCGTGTCTGGTATCAAGACTGCCTCGAGATTCACCTTTAGGGTCTCTTCAACGTCTAGGCTTCCCCTTCAACATGACCAACAATACACTGGACAGACACTTTTCTTTCTCCGCTAAAAATATCAAAGAAGGACGCTATCATACTTGTCTGACTTGCATGTTCAACCACGTTGGTAAGATAAAGAATAGATAATGTAGAGTCAAGTTAGTAAGTGATGTTTGATTGTCAAAGAAGTTTTTATTGATGGTTTTCACGGCGGCCATGTTTGAGGAACTTAACGAAAGAATTGTCAWTGAACTCTTTTGTTATATTCTACAACATGGCCGTCGTGTCTTTTGYTTCTTAATTCTCTTGGGAATGGTTGAAAACCATCGATTCGTTCCATAGGGAATATAAATGTGATTGATTACATCATGGCAGCCATGTTGGTGTACAACACTGTACACGTGTACATAACTGTATACCAACATGGSTCTCATAATGTCACGTGATGAAAGAGAATATTCTGATGATGTATGTGTTAGCCATCAACCAGAGATTGACATTTGTCAAAGAGGAACACATGTAAATTAAGTTATGACTATCTGTATTGTAAAAGTGTCAATAGCACCCCACTGAGAGAGTAAAGAACCTTGTCTGTCAGGCCTCCCAATGCTCTCAAGATATCTGCTATGAGTGCTATACAAGAAATTGTTGTCATAAGCATCATGTCAGGCCCSTAATGACATTAGTATTGTCCATTCATATTTTAGGTCTAGGACATTTCAATGGCAACATGGTTTTTCTGCTTGCCAGTGGCTAYGATCTTCACATACAGTATGGTCGCAAACACCTCCTCCTTGGCTTCTTTGGTGGTGGTGTTTCAGGATGTATTTCACAATTCTCTCTTTATCTTTACCAACAAATCAAATGGGAAAACATCCTCCCTTCTCCCAAATCCTGGAGTTTCTTAGGACATACATTGACTATACATTTAACACGCTGGCAAAAGTCTGCTTTAGGGAATATATTTACCAGAGTAAATGCGTGGAGGCCATGTATTGGGTGCAGTGCAGGACTGGCTGGTTTATTAGCTATTCAAGCTTGTTCAAACATTGTGGAACTCATTAGACAGAGCAGAAAAACCGGCATCAAGATGGATTTCAATCTTCTTTATCGATTATCACAGCTTTCATTTACTTCATTAGTTCTTTTTGAGGATATTTATGTGTTAGCTGGGAGTGCTATGTGGGAAAAGAACATGCTCAGCAACCTAATAGCATATTCTGTAGATGGCGTTGGACATGCTGCACACCTTGGTGGATTCATATTTGGCTTTTTTTATTATTTTCTGGTTATTTATAATAGGGTTACTCCAAGAGAGTTTTAAGAGTATTTGCCAACTAGACACAGAAACCATGGATTAGGCTACCTGTGGACCCAGGTTATCAACACGTTTGTTTGATGTGGTAATATCTCAGATACATACAACAACTTTGGTCATTTACTTGAAAAAGAAAACCACATAAACGAYATAATCAGTCTCTGGTTTATGTTTTACTCTCCTTTTCTCTCACAGCTCACTGGTTCTTGGTTTTCAGAGCCTTTCAGAGATCATAGGAGAGGCTTTTTTACACGCATTTATGTACATCGGACATATTACTGCCATTTTCATAAACATGGAAACTCAGTAGCTGCAAGCTGAATTTTTTTTTTTACTGCCGTCAATCAAAATTAATYRGTCAGTACCTTTCATATTTTTGACCAGCATCACCAAAAAACAAATTTCAGAGTGCAGCTGCATTGCGCTACAGTGTTAGYATCTCATCCTGTTTTATACAGGAAACCCAAAGGCTAGTATTTTACAAAACAACAATCCACATCAACTACCTTCTCAAACTATATATTACATGTAAACAACAAAATAGAAAAGAAAAAAACACTAACGCAACTAACATTGGCATCTAGGCCTTAGAAAATTTAAGATTTAGAACTATTGTAGAAAAAAACTTGGCAATTTAGAACTATTTTTGATGACTTGAATTTCAGAGTTGGAGTGTCATTCAAGACCAGATATTTCAGGGGTAAAGTGATTTTACTTGACCCTTAAATTAAGTTGTATAATATTAGTGACAAAKAGTCAAWGTAAAACAAAAGAAAACAGTGGAATTAATGTCTAGTACTATGTTATTACGCTTTGCCTTACTAAAGCAGATGCAATTAAACTGTGAAATAAAATCAAACTAAATACTAACTAATAGTATCTATTTAGTGACTAATAGTTGCTATCACTCAACCAGAACATTCATCATACAAAGACAAATACACAAGAGACCATTTGTGTTTTTTGTTAAATAAATGTTCTGGTTGAGTAACTAAATAGATACTATTAGATAGTATTTAGTTTGATTTTATTTCATGTTTTAATTGCATCCGCTCTATTTTTTCATGGGTAAAGTAAAATSAATCTAACAAAATGTTTTTCTAGTAATGTTTTAGTTATAAGGGGATATAAGGCTATAAAACATCCAGTRTTCAAATCAATTAAAAATAGTTTTAGAAAATTAACACAACGGTGAACCAAAAAAAAACATTTAAAATTTCTTTATGAGATAGTGATAGAGTAGTCTATAAATTGTCTATTTTGATCTTTTTCTTTGGCAACTTGCTTTATTATAATCCATGTTTGGCTATGTATCTCCTGTGAATTCAATAAAATAATATTGAATTAAATTAAAACCTTGTGTCATTGTTACATTAATTATTATYATTATTACAACTGCCTTCTTTCAAGGACAATCCACTTGAGTGATACACCAAATACACCAGTTTCCAATTGATGTATTCCAC